TCTTGCCTAATTACTCTTAATCTTTCTTTATTAGCATTATGGGCGTTACTACTGTGAAAAACTGGCAGTTTTGTTCTTGTTTAAAGTGACACCAATCGTAAGAACCTGCATAATTAGTATTTCATTGAAGATAATCGATAATGATATTGATAACAATAACGATGATGATAATGATAATGATGAAAACCGTTCCGCTGCCACGGAATACCAGAAAATCAGCATAAAAATAATATTAAAATTTCCTGCTGCGGAAGGAAAACTTGAGTTTTGTCCCAAACCCAAACCTGACCAGATTGGCATCTTCGTTGACGCCTGCCGAGGAGATGAGGATTGTTCAGGTTCCGAAAAATGCTGATTTAATGGATGCGGGCACGTTTGCATGAAACCACTCGATATGTCAATCAACATGGTTTCCCCATATTTAGGCTTTGCTTATATGAGTATGCGCAAGCAATCCCCTTGTCTGTTCACTATTAAATTTTGCTATACACCGTGTAGAATTGCTTTCTGCGAAATCTAGCTAGAGTTCGAGGGGCTATAGTTGCTGGTTTTGCAGAACAATGGAAACCAGCTTTACGCGACACGAGTAGCCCAGAAAAATAGTGGATGAACGATATTGACATGCTGGTTACAATTGGAGGGAGGTCATAGAAACAACATAGAATTTAGCCATACTTTTCTTATAGTAGCGGAACACTTCAGCATAAACTCTCTAGTATTCAAACTGTGGCCAAGTATAGTAAAATTCCTGTCATGCTTAAAAATGTAAACTAAAAGCAATAAATACAGCAATTCTTCAAACAATGAACAGATTTCTTGTATTTTTTCGTAGAAAATAGGGAAAAACGGTTCTGCTAAGACAGCATAGCAGAGAATTTGATTAAAACACCATACGCCACTTGCACATTTCCCACAATGCACCTTATTTTCCCTTCCGCCCCAAATTTCGCATAACCTTTGTTTCTTATTTCTCCTGGGTATTACAGCCGTCCCTAGAGAAAAGGAAAACAATTCTTATGCAACATTTTGGGGGCGCAAACATGGTTCATTATGGAAATGTGGAAATGGTGAATTAATTATGTTACAGCACAAATAAAACCTGGTTTGTGTCCCAAGCCCCGACCCGGCCAGGTTGGCACCTGTGTTGAGGCCTGCTCTGGGGATGGCGATTGTAAAGGTGCCGATAAATGCTGCTCTAATGGCTGTGGACATGTTTGCAAGAAACCGCTGGGTATGTACCTTAACTATTAACATCCCTGCTCTGAAATTAGGCGTTGCACGGTTGTTATACGCATACGCAATCTTCTTGCCTGTTGACTCTTAATCTTTCTTTATTATGCATTATGGGCGTTACTACTGTGAAAAACTGGCAGTTTTGTTCTTGTTTAAAGTGACACCAATCGTAAGAACCTGCATAATTAGTATTTCATGGAAAATAATCGAGAATGATAAGTAATGGTAACAGGACTGAGTGGAGTCCAATTCGGTCTGTAATCATACGAGTGATTAACAAAATCGGACGACCGTGTAGCGGGGTCCGATTTGTTTAATCACGAGTATAATTACAAACCGAATTGGACGACACGAAGTTCTGTTACCAATTAATCGTAACTTTAACAAAATTTGTGATATAATAGGCTATTTTTTAAATCAAAACACAAGAAATTTGAAATTTTGTTTTGCTAGCAGTGAAAAAAAAAAAGTCATTTAAGCGCGCGCGTGATGGCGCGTACTGTCCAATTACTTAGGCATGACGCGTACTGTCCTATTAACTGTCCAATTAAGGCTGAAATCAGGGCAGTTGATAGCCAATCAGATTTGACAAATTTGTTATAGTTATGATTATGATAACAATAACGATGATGAAAACCGTTCCGCTAACACGGAATAGCAGAAAATCAGCATTAAAATAAAATTAAAATTTCCTGCAGCGGAAAGGAAACCTTAGTTTTGTGCCAAACCCAAACCTGACCAGATTGGCATCTGCGTTGACGCCTGCGAAGGATATGAGGATTGTTCAGGTTCCGAAAAATGCTGCTTTAATGGATGCGGGGACGTTTGCATGAAACCACTCGATATGTCAATCAACACGGTTTCCCCATATGTAGGCTTTGCTCGTATGAGTATGCGCAAGCAATCCCCTTGTCTATTCCTACTAAATTTTGCTATACACCGTGTAGAATTGCTTGCTTCGAAATCTAGCTAGAGGTAGAGGAGGTATAGTTGCTGGTTTTGACCGGACAACGGAAACGAATTTTAAGCTGGGGGCAAACAGACGCAACAACTCCCAACATTGTTGGCCAACAATGTTGGGAGTTGTTACGTCCGTTTGCTCGCAGCTAAAAGTTTGACCGGTTTCAAACTTTGCGCAACAACTCCCAACAACACGCAACAACATGCAACAGGGTGTGCAAACGGACGCAACATGTAACATCCAACAATGTTGGAAGTTGTTGGCCAACGCTGTTGCTTCCGTTTGCACGGGGCTTTACGCGACGGGAGTAGGTCAGAAAAATAGTGGATAAACGATATTGACATGCTGGTTACAATTGGAGTGAGGTCATAGAAACAACATAAAATTTAGTCATACTTTTGTTATAGTAGCAGAACATTTCAGGATAAACTCTCTAGTATTCAAACTGTCGCTAAGTATATGTCATGTTTTAAAAATATGTAAACTAAAACCAGTAAATAGAGGGCAATTGTTCAAATAATGAACAGATTTCTTGTATTCTTTCGTAGAAAATAGGGAAAAACGGTTCTGCTAAGACAGCATAGCAGAGAATTTGATCAAAACACCAAACGCCACTTGCACATTTCCCACAATGCACCTTATTTGCCCCCACTCCTGTCCCAAATTTCGCAAACCCTTTGTTTTTAATTTCTCCTGGGTATTACAGCCGTCCCAAGAGAAAATGAAAACAATTCTTATGCAACATTTTAAGGGGCAAACAAGGTGCATTATGGAAATGTATAGAAATGGCGAATTAATTATGTTATGTTAATTATCTTCATTTTTCTGATTATCCAAGATATTTAAAAGATATGTTTCGTTTACGCTCTAGCACCTATTTTTTAAGAGGACATAATATGCTCTGTTTGCCCAAACCATTGACCACTTCTATGGTATCAATTCCTTTAGTTACTTGGCAGCAACATCTTGGAATTCTCTCCCTGACCATTACCGCACTATTTCTGATTTTACTTTTTTTCGACGACTGATATCTACTGGGAACAATAATTTTCTTAAAAGGGCAGGAACTGCAAACCTTTCTACATCATGACAATTTGCAAGTTAGTTGTCCAGGTAGTTAGTTATCTTATTTGTTATATGGAATTAACTTTTCATTATAATTATTTATTAATGTAGTTGGCTCGAAGATATTAGCACTTCAGTGCTACACTGTAAATTCGAGGGTAAATAAAGTTTATTGATTGATTGATTGATTGATTGATTGATTGAAGAAAAACCTGGTTTGTGTCCCAAGCCCCGACCCAGTCAGAAGATCTTCTGTGTTGAGGCCTGCTTTGGGGATAACACTTGTAAGGGTGCCGATAAATGCTGCTCTAATGGCTGTGGACATGTTTGCACGAAACCACTGGGTATGTACCTTAACTATCAACATCCCTCCTCTGAAATTAGGCGTTGCACGGTTGTTATACGCATGCGCAATCTTCTTAGCTGTTGACTCTTAATCTTTCTTTATTATGCATTATGGGCCTTACTACTGTGCAAAACTGGCAGGTTTGTTCTTGCTTAAAGTGACACCTATCGTAAGAACCTGCATAATTAGTATTTCATGGAAAATAATCGATAATAATAACAATAATGATGATGATAATGATGATGATGAAAACCGTTCTGCTGACACGGAATAGCAAAAAATCAGCATAGAAATAATATTAAAATTTCCTGCAGCGGAAAGGAAACCTGAGTTTTGTCCCAAACCCAAACCTGACCAGATTGGCATCTGCGTTGACGCCTGCCAAGGAGATGCCGATTGTTCAGTTTCCGAAAAATGCTGCTTTAATGGATGCGGGCACGTTTGCATGAAACCACTCGCTATGGCAATCAACGTGGTTTCCCCATATTTAGGCTTTGCTCGTATGAGTATGCGCAAGTAATCCCCTTGTCTGTTTACTATTTAATTTTGCTATACACCGTGTAGAATTGCTTGCTTTGAAATCTAGCTAGAGTTCGGGGAGCTATAGTTGCTGGTTTTGACCGGACAATGGAAACGAGCTTTACGCGACAAGAGTAGCTCAGAAAAATAGTGTCTGAACAATATTGTCATGCTGGTTACAATTGGAGGGAGGTCATGGAAACAACATAGAATTTAGCCATACTTTTCTTATAGTAGCGGAACACTTCAGTATGAAATCTCGAGTACTCAAACTGTTGCCAAGTATAATAAAATTCGTGTCATTTTCTGAAAATAGATAAACTAAAAGAAGTAAATAGAGGGAAATTGTTCAAATTATGAACAGATTTCTTGAATTTTCTCGTAGAAATTAGGGAAAAACGGTTTTCTTAAGACAGCAAAGCAGAGACTTTATATAAAAACACCATACGCCACTTCCACATTTTCCATAATGCATTATTGAAATTCTTCCCCCAAAATTTAGCATAACCTTAGGTTTTCATTTCTCCTGGGTATTACAGCCGTCCCAAAAGAAATTTAAAGCAATTCTTGTGCAAAATTTTGGGGGCCAAACAAGGTGCATTATGGAAATGTGGAAATGGCGAATTAATTATGTTACAGGACAAGAAAAACCTGGTTTGTGTCCCAAGCCCCGATCCGGTCAGGTCGGCACCTGTGTTGAGGCCTGCTCCGGGGATGGCGATTGTAAAGGTGCCAAAAAATGCTGCTCTAATGGCTGTGGGCATGTTTGCATGAAACCACTGGGTATGTACCTTAACTATTAACATCCCTGCTCTGAAATTAGGCGTTGCACGGTTGTTTTACGCATGCGCAATCTTCTTGCCTGTTGACTCTTTATCTTTCTTTATTATGTATTATGCATGGGCGTTACTACTGTGCAAAACTGGCGGTTTTGTTCTTGTTTAAGGTGACACCAATCGTAAGAACCTGCATAATTAGTATTTCATGGGAAATAATCGATAATGATAATGATAACAATAATGATAATGATGATGATGATGATGAAAACCGTTCCGCAGACACGGAATAGCAGAAAATCAGCATAAAAAAAAATGTTAAAATTTGCCGCAGCGGAAGGGAAACCTGAGTTTTGTCCCAAACCCAAACCTGACCAGATTGGCATCTGCGCTGACGCCTGCCAAGGAGATGACGATTGTTCAGGTTCCGAAAAGTGCTGCTTTAATGGATGCAGGCACGTTTGCATGAAACCACTCGATATGTCAATCAACATGGTTTACCCATATTTAGGCTTTGCTCGTATGAGCATGCGCAAGTAATCCCCTTATCTGTTCACTACTAAATTTTGCTATACACCGTGTAGAATTGCTTGCTTCGAAGTCTAGCTAGAGTTCGAGGAGCTATAGTTGCTGGTTTTGACCAGACAATGGACACTAGCTTTACGCGACAAGAGTAGCTCAGAAAAATAGTGGATGAACGATATTGACATGCTGGTTAATATATAGATTTAGCCATGGCTAAAAGCGAAGCTCCAATTAGTAAATTCATAATTTAAATCAAACAATAAACTTTTGATCCAAAAATCAGTTAACTTAAGGGCACATTCATGTGACTTTTGAGGTAAAGGCTAAGTTATTTTAGAGTGAAACATCTTACATCGAATTGATAACCTTATATGTACACCCAAAAAACAGCAAACATCTTCGATCACATTCAAGATCACAGTAGATTAAGCCTCGAAAACAAATTCTTGGAAAACAAATCACGCCGAATTTTTTTGCGTTCGACAGGTTTACTTTACAAATTGTTGCCAACAAATCTGGGGGTGTTTAAACCAACCTTTTATAATTTTTATACATCACATTTGAGGTGAAACAGCACTATTTATCATACAGACCTCGGACAGAATGCGGTATTTCACAATTTTTCAAGACAAATTGCACTCAGTCAATATTTAGGACGATCAATCGTAGGCTTTAAGCGAAACCGTTCAAAATTTTTCCAAAATCACCCATACGGCCAGCTGGTTCTCGTTTATATAAAGCGAGCTGTCAGTGTGGTCGAGTGTTTGAATGAACTTTAATAGAGTTACGCTTCAACATAATAGCGAATTTATTTATTTATTTTTTTGTTATTTAATAGTTTTAGTTATAACGATGTGTAATCTTATAAAGCGTTTGATACGCGCGACATTTTTGAGTACTCCTGCAAGCGATGTTCGTGAACGACGAAAACAAACGGCACGGAGAAGCGATTAAAATTGCAAGAGAGACTACTAACAATCAAAAAAATATATATATAATTCGGTGAAACATTTACAGAGACAACAATTTTCATTCACGAAAGACAAGTATTAAAGAGTCTCTAAAAATCCTGAGTCTTTAAGCGTAAAGCTTAAGCTGGCTTCCTGGTGCGGTGTTTACTGTTTTCGAAGGTGAACTCCTCGAAGCAAGAAAATCGCTCAAAGTTTTCTTTCTAAAGCCAAATTTATAACTAAATATTCTTCGGATCGTTTTCTTTCTATTTGTGGTGAGCAAATATATCTGAAGGCTTTTTGAAGTTCTGTAAGCTTATATCAAACCTGATACTAGGTCAGATCATTGACTCAAATCCTACAAAGGTACATAAACTTGCCGCATAAACTGTCAGCGTGAATTGTGCAAGACTTCATGAAATTAGATATAACAAAAACAAACATCAAATACAATAATTACTCAGGCTTACCATTCGAGATTCAGTTTTCTGAAAGCTATCAAGGAAGGCCACAGTTGCTTGAGACTTTTAAACCCTCTTACGCATTAAGCAAGGTGAAAAACGAAAACGATGCCATCCGAAATCGAATTACCGAATTTTGACAAGCGACGCATTTCTCAACCAAAAACCCAGTAAACAAACCAGCCATGAATAACAGAAGACTCTTGATAGCAGCTGTATTTCATTTTGCACATCCAGAGGAAAAAGACAGTTAAAAACATCACAAGTTGATACAAAACTCTGTCAGCTTCAGCTGTGAAAGTAAACAACTTTCAAGATGCTGCATATTTTTTCCGCATGAACTCACCTGTCAAATTTTGACCAATCAGAGTATAAAAATTGGACGTAGAGCGTGACCAACGCGTGACCATGGTAAGAAAAGGTCTTCCCCGCCTGTACTTTTAAAAAAGCTGGCTGAATTTTCGCTTTCGAGGTCAGTTTGAAATCAAAATCCTAATAGTACGGGGCCATAGTGACATAAACGCAACATATTTGATATAAATCCTTGGAAAAAATAAACTTGAGCCTTCAATCATTTGACACTGGTAATTTGTCAGCGGATAACTTCAAAACAATACTCGACCTCGATGGGTCGACACTTGAGCCCGCAGAACGGTCAGGTGATACTGGTCAGCGGATGCCCTGTTTTGATAGCTGTCAATTGATCACATCACAGTTTTCTGTTGGGCTCCCAAACTAGCTAAAAGTGTGAGAGTAAACATTGGTTGTTCTGTGGTGCGGACGGACGGTCGCTCGCTCGCTCGCTCGGTTTACGGTCACGTGATTGCCAAATTTTCCGGGATGGGTAGATTACCACATTTCCTTAGCTATGGGGCTCCGCCCACGCGCGCGCAAAGCGCGCGCGTGGAGCTCCGCTACAATTGGAGTGAGGTCATAGAAACAACATAGAATTTAACCATACTTTTCTTATAGTAGCGGAACACTACAGGATGAAATCTCTAGTACTCAAACTGCGGCCAAGTATAATAAAATTCGTGTCATTTTCTGAAAATATATAAACTAAAAGAAGTAAATAGAGGAAAATTGTTCAACTTAAAATATATGAACAGATTTCTTGTATTTTCTCGTAGAAATAAGGGAAAAACGGTTCTCCTGTATAAAACACCATACGCCACTTCCACACTTCCCATAATGCACCTTATTCATAAAATTTCTCCCCAAAATTTTGCATAACCATTGTTTTTCATTTCTCCTTGGTATTACAGCCGTCCCAAAACAAAATGAAAGCAATTCTTATGCAAAATGTTGGGGGGCAAACAAGGTGCATTATGGAAATGTGGAAATGGCGAATTAATTATTTTACAGCACAAGAAAAACCTGGTTTGTGTCCCAAGCCCAGTGGGCCTGGTATCTGTGTTGAGGCCTGCTCTGGGGATGGCGATTGTAAAGGTGCCAAAAAATGCTGCTCTAATGGCTGTGGACATGTTTGCACGAAACCACAGGGTATGTACCTTAACTATCAACATCCCTGATCTGAAATTAGGCGTTGCACGGTTGTTATACGCATGCGCAATCTTCTTGCCTCTTGATTCTTAATCTTTCCTGAGTTTTGTCCCAAACCCAAACCTGACCAAATTGGCATCTACGTCGATGCCTGCCAAGGAGATGACGATTGTTCAGGTTCCGCAAAATGCTGTTCTAATGGATGCGAGCACGTTTGCATGAAACCACTCGATATGCATGTTTTCCCCATATTAGGCTTTGCTAGTATGAGTATGCGCAAGCAATCCTCTTGTCTGTTTACTACTAAATTTTGCTGTACACCGTGTAGAATTGCTTGCTTCGAAATTTAGCTGGAGTTTGAGGAGGTATAGTTGCTGGTTTTGACCGGACAATGGACACGAGCCTTACGCGACAGGAGTAGCTCAGTCGGTAGAGCACTTGACTACAGAACAGGAGGTCGCTGGTTCGATCCCTTTGGCCCGACCAATACTCAGATATACTGAGATATGAAGGTACTGCCTTTTTCAAATTGCCCTGCAAACGGCTAGACCCTTCGGTTGACCAAGTGAAATGGCGGTCCCGTCTGTAGTAGGAGACGCCAAAAAAGTGTCTCAAATTAGTACTTTCGTGCTAAATACATTGACACTCAAATAAAGTGCTTATAATATTTTTTCGACAAGGCGGAAGGTAATTAATTCTAAGAAAATTGCAAGGTACGGGTAAATAGAATCCTTTTGAGTGTATATCATTTCCCCGCTCTTTCATTTTTCTTACGTAAGTTTAATCAATCGTTCGTATGTTTGGCTTTTATAGACCCTTTTGTGGTCCTTCATTCTGATCGCTGCCCTAAGCCCGGCCGTTTTGGCCTCTGTGCTGAGCTTTGCGGTGTAGGTGGTGGATGCTCAGGAGGAAAAATATGCTGCTCTAACGGGTGCGGTCACCAATGCATGTCTCCTGGTAAGTACTGAATCTGCTTCTCCTTAAAACATTGACCAGCATTGAATATCTCCCCATAACAGTTATTTATTACTTTGGAACCTTGTACTACCCTCTACTTTTGATGCGTCTTAGACACCTAGATAATATGGACAGCATGGCATGTCTCCTTCGTGTCCGTATTTGTCCACTGTAGTTAATTGAACCAAAGGGTTGTGGGTTTGGTCATTGGTCCCATAAAATTGTGCGAAAAATATGCATTTTGTTTTTGTTGAATTGTAATTCGGTGGATGAGTTTTAATTGTCAAGAGTGAGATTTTCTCAAATGGTTTTATTCAAGATCGTAGTTAAACAATGATGACGACGTGATTGTCATGATCACAATGAATATGATACGATGACAACTGGACCCTAGCAATGACAATGACCACAATAATAACTATGAATTAATATAATTACAAACATATATGATGATGGTGATGGTGATGACGATGATATTGATATGATGATGATGATGATGATAGTGGTAGTGATGAAGGAGATGATAGTGGTGGTAATTAAGACGATTATTTAGGGAAAGCCCAGGAAGCTCAGGCTTTTAATCACTCTGTATTGAACATTAATGGCCTGCGCGTAAGAACCTACATTTTTTCAAGTCTGGTGAAAAGGTTCTTGGATTTTTTTGGTGGGTAGCTCCTATTTAGGCTAAGTTGGTTCTTGATTAGAAGTATTTGACAGAATGTACTTTCCTTCTCAATTTCGTATGTATGTTTTTACCAATCAGATTAACATTTAGAGACAGAGGACACTCTTTTGTTACCAATAAAGAGACGCGTAGTTGACAGAATGTACTCTTCTATTCTTTTATATAGCGCTACGCTAGCCTCTTCCACGAAGACATTGGTCAAGTTAATTTCCAGCAATAAAGAAAGGCCTTGGAGAGATGTTTTCTGTTCTTCATTGCATAACGGTTACATTGATTTAAAAGTTAGAATAAATTTAAAGTTAATCGATGTAAGAAAAATAAATGCAGTATGAAAATAAAGTCAAGATGAAATACAACTCCTTTTTCCTATTTTTTCTTGATTAATCACACTCTCTCAAATTATTCTTTATGAATGTATGGAGATCAGCCTGCAGAATTTGTACGTGGATATTAGGGCTAAGACGGTTAACAAGAAATAACACTCACACTTCGGTTCGATAAACATAAGGCTAAAACGCAGTATTATTCATTCAAAACATTTTGCCGTTTCTTGTCGGCTTTATTCCCCGGCCAGCTAATTCGGATTCAGGCAATGAAAAGAGTAGGTTGCAGGTTTAATTCTCGAATTAAATTCGGTACGTGTGAAATTCGACGTTTGAACTGGGCCTGATTAGGCATTGCAACTTTGTTGTACCAGGTCCAATTGTTGCGGCCACTTACACTCAATCTTCACTACTCTACACGTTACCGTGGAAAGTCTGCGTGTTCCAAAAATTAGGAGTATAAAGAATCTCTTCGGTAAAGTCACTAGTTTTGACAAA